AGATCCAGGGGGCCATGCCCCCCCCCCCCCGATGAGCAGCAGAGGGAGCTGCCAGACGAGCACCAGATGAGCTAAGCACAGCAGCGGGAGCAGCCCCCTCCTTCCCGCGCCCACCCCAGCCCCAGCTACAGCCTGCCCCAACCCACGCAGATCTGAGGGCTGCACCACCCCTTGCGTCCCATGCCTGCCCCAGGCCTAGCTTCACTTCCTCCCTCTGTCACTGTGGGGGCCTTGATCTGCCCCCCCCCACCACACCAGATTTACCAGGTGGAGGCAGCTCTCCACGCTGCTGGCTGCGATCCTCACCACTTATGTGCTGGGCTGCAGCTGTGCACAAGCATGGGCATTTATCAGAGTAACAAGGCTTCCTAGGGATTTCACTAAGTGCAAAGCCAAGATCCACAGTAACACATACTGAAAAAAAAATGTGTAATGTATCTGACTGGTGCAGTTTGCAGTACTTACAACTAAAAGAAACAGGAGGAGTATTCAAGGAAGAATTCACACTTTCCCCAACATAAGTACTACATCAGCAGAACTAAGCTGCCTTCTACAGCTTATCTCGTCATTCAAATCTGTTACGTTCTTCCCTCCTTCAGAATACAGGCAATACATTTCAAAAGAGTCTTGATTTTTACCTCTAATAGCCCAAGAGGAAGGATATTAAACTACCCACGGATAGAGAATCCTGCACAGGTACTACAGTGGACTTGCATCTCAGTAGCACGAGAAAAAAAATCTTCTTCTATTTTATATATATTTTGCAGAAGTCCTACTAGTAAAGGGACCTAACTGAAATGAATTCTAACAAGCAGCAGTCAGAAAAAGCTGTTAGTGTCTCAGAATACCTGCTTACCATAGCTAGCAGAGATGAGTAATGCAAAGATGCATCTAAAAAAAAAAAAAAAAAAAAAAAAAAAACGGAAAAAAAAACCTGGGAAAAAAATTTAACTTCTCAAAAAAAAAAAAAAAAAAAGAAGAAAAAAATGAATTTAAAAAAAAAAAAAAAAAAAGAAGAAAAAAATGAATTTAAAAAAAAAAAAAAAAAAAGAAGAAAAAAATGAATTTAAAAAAAAAAAAAAAAAAATCGAGCAAACTAACTCTGGTAAAATAGTTACATCTGCTAAGAGAAACACAACATGCTTCAACTACCTGGTTAATTCTTCACGCAGATTGTTGGGTTCAGAGGAGTAAAACTTCACACGAAAATGCAGACAATATGGTGGGCCAACTGCAAAGTAGAACACATTTAAGATATTGGTTATCTAGGGAAGACTTGCATTTATTATCAAATGGAATCATGCATTAAATCTAACACTATTTTTATTTCACTATAAGGTACTTGAGGCAAGAATTCCCTGCGACAAACAAATAAATAAATAAATAAAATCAGGACGAAAGCAAGTGCTTAAGTACAACCACAATATACTGTGTTTCATATATTACACATCAATCCAACAGTCGTATCACATTAAGTTGATCTGTCTTGCCAGGAACAGACAAATCTAGGTTAATCCCAATGTTTAAGGGCTCTATCTATCACAGAGAAGGCTGTGAATCTTGGCTCTGCACTCAGCCAAATCCCTCCGAACTCTGCTGCTCTGTGTAAGACATTTTCAAGGCTCTGGGAAATACCTGCTGTTGACAACTTAGGCTAACATATTCCACAGAGTTTTAGACCCAGTTTAGTGGGGTTTAACAATCCCTCAGTGGAGGTACTGCCTGTTCTTAAGGCAAAAAGTTAATCCAACCAAAGACTGGATTAAAAGTTCTTCGAAACTGCACAGCTTTAGATGGATTTGCAAACTGAACGCTAGGTACCTTCTCTCTGGCAGTGCTTCCAAAATTTTCATTATTAATTTAACACCACAAGTTCCTAAAGACTACTTCCAGCCAGCAGCGGAAGCCAAAAGTGACATGCTAATGTTATTATCAGAACATGTTTCATTGAACCCACCCCACAGGCAACTACCAACATGTACACCACATGTAATTTCATAGGCAGATCAGACATGGATTAGGATACTCTACAAGGAATGGACAAGGCGGCAACTTTCCCTTTTGTCAGGAGAAGAATATTACTGGTAGTGCAGCAGTCTCAGTTACTCTGACTTCAAATAAACCTGTCTTACGGTTAATGAGCCTTCAACATGTTTTGATTAAAGAAATTATACTGAAGTTAAAAAAAAGAAGAGCAACAGGGAAATTAGATCATCAGAAGACTGTGCCAGGCTTTAATTGTGACATCACCTCTCTCAGATTGCTGTCAGCTCCTGCCAAGGCAAATAACAGAGCAGCAAACACTGCGGAACTCCATGTACCCAGAATAACAGACCAACAATTTAAAAGGGACACTTACTTTTAACTTGTTTTTTAATGCTTTTAGTGTTGTCCAACCAGTGCTGAAAGACAAAACAATCCTTAGGTTAAAATGAATTTATCATAATACGAGATAACAAAAGGATTTTTACACAGATGCGAAAATCAAAGAGAGAGCAGAGCAGCATGGCACCTTATGGACTAACTTGTTCAGAGACAGCAGCTTTCATAACCTACTTTGGCAGATCCTACTAATGGACTTGCAAATAGCAGGGATACTAAATAGAAAGGAATCAAGTCATATAAATACAAATGTTAAGGAAGGGGGAAGAAAGAAGTTGCACTAAGAGAGGCCCTACCTTCTGCCTAACTTCAGACTAATGAGGCTACCATTCAGTATTTGGGGGAGTAGGCTGTATCCTACAAAAGCGCATGCCTCTTTGAATGAGTCCGGGGTGCTCAACTTTTTGGCCCTGTGGGCCAGACGACTGGCATGGGGCCTGTCTGCAGGCTGGATAGGGCTGTCTGCAGGACAGACCAAGGCTGGGGCTTGGCAGTGCCCTCTCCCACACCATGTGCAGGATTCAGTCAGGGGGCACTGCCCTCTACTTCGCCCAGCTCCCTGCACGCAAGGACTGGGTGCCAGGGGAGCAGTACCACCATTGTGGGCCTGCACGCTAGGATCAGGCACCAAATCCAGCACGCACAGCCTGGGGTTCCCCAGGGGTCTGGAGTTTCCATGTCACAGCATGTGTCACACAACCAGTATGTGTGACCCATTCATTTGTTTCCTTACTTGCAACTGCCAGGAGTAGAAATCCATGGCATCCTGGTTGAGAACTCATGCTCTAAGATGCGTGTTAAAATACCACAGTTCATTCTCAGAGGTCAAGATCCTGACTTCATGTTTTTGAGTACATAATTGCATGTATGAGAGCACACCACACACCTCTGGGTAGAAGGGAGCTTCTGCACTTATAAGTAGGGAACTACCTAAATTGCGGTTTTGTAGATTAAGGAAACCGTGAAATCCAGGGCTGCCCACAAAATCCACAAAACACATAATTTTTTATTAAGTCTTCCCCTACTGGGCAGGTCTTGGAGCCCACCTGGGAGGGGTTACCAGCTGGTGGGGCAGCACAAGGAGGGTGGCAGACAAGATTGCGGCTGCCCTCCTCCCCCCCTCAACGACAGGCCTTGCCACCAATCAGCACTGAGGGGCGGGACCAGACAAAGGGCAACCAGTCAAGATGGCAGCTGACCCCTCATCCCTCCTCTCCCCCTCCCCCAGACCCTCTCTGTCAATCTCTGCTTTGTCTCATCATGAGTTAAGTAGGTCCCTACTTATAAGCAAGAAGGAGATTCCACATCACAGCATGTGTCATTCAGCCAATATGTGTGAGCCAATTCATTTGTCTACTTACTTGCAACCACCAGGATTAGAAATCCATGGCACCCTGGCCAGAAGGGTCCACATAGCTATGCTCCCATTACTGCAGAAGTTGCATACAATAAGCTAAGAGCTAAGCTGGACGTCTCATGCAACCAGCAGCTGAAATCTATGGCAAGGGGTGTCAATATTCAAATTACCCCTCTCTCTGCAATTCATGACTTGGGCAGGGAGTATGTGTTGCATCTTCCTCAATATAAATTGTACTGGCTGATTCCAGACGCCTCCTTCCTACCAATCCAACTGAGTGGTATACATATGCAGTGCTCCCCTGGTTAAACTGCATGCCATACACTGCAAAGAGGCCCCCAGTAAGGATGGTGCAGCAATGTTAGCATGGGAAAGAAGAGGCGTTGGCAGGTCACAATGCCGATATAAATGTGTTGCTTCCTCCAAAGAACAAAGCAGTCTTGTCTTCTCCTTCCACATGCTAATTCGCAATACCAGGAGGATACCTGCAAATCAGGCAGCCACTGGAACAGGGATATACAACTGCTACTATCTATCTGTCTTGGATCTAGATCCAGCTAAGAAGGATGAGCAATCATTTATTTCTGTGAACCACTTTTTAAGTGGTTATGGACATGGTACATCTTCATAAAAACCTCCAAAAAAAATCTTGCAAGTGGGAGGTCCTTCATCATGAACTGAATTTAATAGAGTTTCCGAACAAAGCAGGACTGTAAGGAGTAACCCAATGAAAATATTCAAGCCACAATTTTTTCACATTTCAAGTTCTAACCCAATGGAGCAGAGCAGGCTATTTTCTTAGAAAAGAAACAGGATCCCTCACTGTCATGTGTAATGTAGCGAGATGAGGAGAAAAGGCCATTTTCAGACTGCAGGATTGTGTGCATGTCTGTTTTATCTCCAGTCTGTTTTCTTTCATCTCCTCCACATTCCAGTGGTAGGCAGTTAAGAGGCCCGAGACAGGCACTGATAGCATTTTACTTGACTCAGCTCCTGCCACCACCACCTACAACAGTTCAGCTTGAATGGTATGGAGGGGGAGGTGGGAGAAGGGAAACAGCTTTTTTTTTTTTTTTTTAAACAGATACAAAGCCTTGGGGATACTCTCCGACCCTTCCTAAGTTGCATTTATTCCAAGTGATTAAGATAGAACTCAAACGAGACTGATCCTTCTACCTTCACATTGCGACGAGCGCTTATACTTAGTGCACTCTCCCATCGTAATTCAGGAATAATGTTCATAAAGACAAATCACTAATTAACTACCAAAAACATATCAGATGAAGAGGGAGCTGAAGTCCTTCTTAAAGATCATCTGGAGTGTGCCACTTCTTCAGAAAAAGAGAAACAACAGCCTTGTAACAAAATGGCAAGAACAGGCTTGTTTGATAAAAAGCCAGGGGTCTTTCTACTTCATGGAATTAACTGTTCTGTTACTGTGATGATAATGCTATCCAAGATATGTCAAAAACTACAGTAGCCAAAGTAACTGTTTCAGTACAACAAGAAGTAATTTATTTCACAATTTCATTAGCCTTACATAGCACCCAAAAGCTCTTTGTATGTTAGATTTAGGTAAATTTACCACAGATTAAAGTTCAGTCTCTAAGAAGGAGTTACTATACATTTATGGCCCTGTTAAGGGATAAGCCAAATGGCCTAAAGTCTCCAGTAAGTCATCTTTATCTTCCACGCGTCTAGATTGGGTTATGTTGTTCATTGTCAGATTGATCTAAAGCTACTCAAATCAGTATGAGCCCTTCTAACAACTTCAATCTGCCCTGGATCAAGAGTGGTACTCTACAGACTCTCCTTTTTGCCAATCTTGGCTTTTCCTATATAGCCTAAAAACTTTCCCACACAGCAACCTAAAAATACAGAAAGTAGGTGAATATTATGGAGATATTTCTTCACTTCACACAAGGCTATAAAAACTCATTAAAGAAAGGGTGGGGGGAGCCTGCGTTTGAAACCCAACTTGAAAATTCATAGCAAAGATATGGGTAGCAGTTTTCATTGCCAGCTTCTGACATGTATCTATTAACTCTGATATTAATCTATAGGTAAAGGCCCGAGTCAATGCCAGAGATCAAGAACAAGAGAAAGGGGCTTCAAATACAAAACAAGAAAATTAAGGGTATTTCAGTTGTGAAAACTGAGAGGTCAACAGTGTAAGCAGTATTTTATGAATTCCTTTTATCTGTAGTTAAGTAAGTTTTCACTATGCATATGTTATACAAACCCATATTACCATATCATGTGCCCTCCACATTTCAGAAGTAAAAAAACAGCAGTGGGGCAAGGTTTCATGCCTTCAGATACCGCTAGCCAGAGTGGGAATATTTTTAGTCTCAGCCCAGAATTACTGAAATGGCTAGCTCCATCTGAAATGAAAGGTAGTTTACAACTTCTGAGACTTGACTTCAGAGTCCTGGGCAAATCGCATGGTCATTCTGCTCCTCATTTTGCCTTATTATTGCATTTAAAAGCCTTTAGATGGAGGCTCAACGAAACACTACTGCTTCTCTTTTCCCCCAGCATGTAGCAGAGTTGAAAAAAAGGAAGCAAACCAAACTATGAACTACATGTAGCTAGCAGGCGATACAGTATTGACTACCCAGAAGGAGTCATCTGGATGGGAACTTCTAACTTGTCCAGAGAACTAAATCACGAGCCATTCGTTTTTCTTCCCAAGGAAGAGCCAATGTTACCAAATAATACAACCTGAGGAAGAAAAATAGCTACACAAGATGGTTTAAACAAGAAGGGGGGAGGGATGAGGTCTTACAGGGAAATGCTTCCTAAGGAACGCAGCAGCACTAAAATTAGTTTAAAATTCCACCTATGTCCCCCAAGCAAAAAAGGTGGATTTAAACGTAACCGAGCAGTTTACAAGCAGCCATCACAAAGCAATAGCTTTGTCTTGTATCTTTAGTAACAAACCACATAGGTCATGTACAGGGCTTTTAAATTAATAAAGTAGTATTCAGTGTCCTGTCACATGAGTATACAGATCATGTACATGCTCCATCAGTAACTGCAACCAGGAATAACTGATACAGATAAGGGAATGGAAATAAAAATTATTTTCTTTAAGCTACAGACAATGAAGACTGTTTCAGTATTTGAATTGGAATATGTTACTGAGCACAACTGCTGGAGTGTTTCCCCATTGCTATATCCTCATTTGTATGTCCTGACACCACCCTTCTTTAACTATTTCTCCAGGGTACCCCAACCATAGCAATGAATTTTCATTACTGTCTTCGGTGATCCTACAAAAAGAGTATTTTGGTGTGAAACCAACAGCTGGCAGGAGTCTCCAGAGTGGAGGGTAGGAGATGCAGCTTTTCTCTTTCAGTGCAAGATGTTTCCTGGGACCAAGGACCATTTCTATCAATGGTTTAAGTGGATGTCACTCAAGACTTCAGCAGAGTGACGTGTGCTCAAGTCAACAGTAGCCTCTGCCTCAAACATTAAGAGTATCCAAGTTCAGATGATTTTTCTTTAGGAAAACAAAGCACTCTACAAAACTCACATTCAGTGGAATATTGACTCGTGGGGTTCATGTAGGACACCATAAAGTAAATATCTGAGGGTAGATCACCCAGGATTTCAAGACGGTAGGCCTGGTTGATAACCTTGTTTGAAGAGATAAATGGGGCTTTGCTTTCCCAAAACAGCTTTGTCACCTAAAATGCCATTTAAAGATAAATCATTCATGTCTACTGTTAAAAACTGTTAATTTGGACACAAGTCTGTGGCTATTCTTGAGGGAAAGGCTAAGGCATCAATCTGGAAGTCATGCTATAGGACTCCCAGAGAGATCAGTGAAGTACCTACACGTTCAAATTCAGACAACAAGGGAAGCTGGTATTTGACTTCTGACAAATTCTGCAATGTTCCTCTGTTGTGGCTTGAAAGGGACAAGTTTTTTTGTTTTTTTTATAAACTTGTGTTTTTCTTTGAATTCATGTGTACGAATTTGTTCAGGTCTTTCAAATGGCTTAACTGACAATGGACCAGATCCTGATGTCATCTTGCTAACATCTTTACACTAACACAAGAGGTTTGCCCACCACTTATTAGTTGCAGGATTGAGTCTTAATACGGCTTTGCACAAATTAGATATTTGGCTTCCTTACTAGAAAAAGCCTCATCCTGATAGTGGGTCTGACCAAATGCTACTGCCAACTAGGATGCTAAGGGTAGCACAAGTTGTCAGAGACTGCCTCTTTCAACTTCGCCACAAAAGGAAAAACCAGGTAAGTACAGTTCTTGCCACCAACCCTCTTAAATCAGCAGCACCAAGCATTTCTGAAACAGGTGCTGTGGAAGACCTGGCTTGACTCTAAAAGGAGGAGTAACTGGTAAGAGAAGAACAAGAATACGTAGGGGACTGTGGTGGCTTAGCATTTGTGATGCAAGTTTAATAACATTTTGGAAAACTCCAGTTTTTTCAATTAAGACAATTCAAGTAATGAACACTGTATTTTCTCACATAAAACACTCCCCCAGAATGTAATACCCATCTTGGTTTTGAAAGGCAGGATGAAGAAAAAAAAGATTTTTTCCCTGAGTTATAGCTGCATAGAGTAGGGACAGAGCTTAATCTTCAGCTGACGCAGACTGTTTCCTGCTTAGACAGTGAAACAGGAGGAGAAACCCAGAGAAGCTAGCACAAGAAAACTCCCCTAAAAAAGGTTAGCTTGATTAGTGGAAAATCCAGACCATTTAAAAGGAGAGAGGTTCATTAATACCTGGGGAGTGGAAAACAATGAGCCATTAAGTCAAGCAACTTCCTCCACTGCCTGACTACCAATACCACAGCTGCTGTACCGCACAGTAGGAATCAGAAAACAGTATTTTTGTCCAAGGCAGAAAAATCAGCGTTCCCATTTAATATACACACCCCAATTTTGTGAGGCTGATTTTTGAGGAAAGATATGCGAGTATGTGAGAAAATATGGTATTTTCTGGTAACCTGTTAATCAACGTTTACAGTTAAAAAAATTAAGACTCTTATTACTTACCGCAACTTGTGCAGAATCCATAAACCTCAGTCCAAAATAGTCACTTTCTATGAGGTCCAGATGGTACATAATCTGCTCAAACAAATGCTGGCCTTTGGCTTTCTTCTGAAAACACAAAATGAATGAGTGTGCAAGGGGCAGATTTGATGCTACATTTGTCTGTTCAAAGCAAGTACTACAAACTCTCTATTAAGACTTTTTTTTGTTCTAGAATGTTATGCTTAAACATTTAGCAACAGCTTTCTCTACAGCTACAGGATGACTGGCATTTTTTCATAACTTCAGACAGCCTGTAAATAACAATAGCGGGTGACCCATAATTACCATAACATTAGTAAATTTAACATCTACCTTTTCAAACCATTACATGTCAGCTTCTGGGCCTCCTAGCACTGAGCTCTACAGCTTTATAACCTTCTAAACCTTTTGAGAAGGGTACATCATGCCATAAAATTGAAAACCTGGGAAGAGTTTGACATTTTCTGATACACCATGAAGTGTGAAGAGAAATGCAGTAAAATGCTCAAGACAGTGCCACTAGGTGATAAAGACAACTCTCAACTTTGAAGAAGAGAGAAAAAACAAAGAGCAACAGCATACTGAGCTAAGATACTAACTGCAGTTCCCATCATTACATTTTTTTCAACGACTTAAATAAAGGTTTTGCCTCAATACCCTTGATTCTGACACTAGCCTCATCAATAAACATGTCACCAGCACAAATACAAAGCTGGCATTGCTTATAAACAGACATATACACCAGTCAGGCTTTTTTAATTCAATAAGTAGGAGAAAGCAGATCACCAGTTTATTTTAAAAGGCCCAGTATTTTAGTCTACATAAAAAATTAAGCACATTAAAAAAGAGTCATTCAACAACTGTACTATTTTAAATGTAAAGTGATACCAGTGAACAGTAAATGCAGCATGCTTACATAACTCAAGCACTCAAAAGTCAGGAAATACATATTTAATAACGACAATGAAAACCTTAATTATGACCCCAAATAAATATCTGTACATTGTTAATCTCAAAGTAAAAATACAAAATCCTTTTGAAAATGAAATCTGATAGTAGGGGTGTATCCTCAACTTCAGGCACAGATCTCCTAACAGAATACAATGTTCTACATTTTCCCTATTAACTCCTTTTATAACAGTCTTCCCAAGGAAAAGCTTAATCCAAAATAGTCTCTCTTGATCAGCGTTAGCAAATTTCCAACCTAACAGGTTGAAAAAACCACTTGGATAATATCTTTTAAGTAAAATAATTCAATTAAGAAAATCTATAGGTCAAAGCCAAGAAAGACTGTAGTGCTGAAATAAAATGAACATTCTTGTGTACTTAATAAAGACAGTGTATTGATCTTTATTAGGTGGACAGTGTAAAGATTTTTTTAAAATGTCCATAATTACTTATTTCTGAACTGCTGTCATTTAACAGTCTGAGTTGAGAAATTAATTTTTGTACCATACCATTAGCTAACTCACCAGCTGCTTACTACCAGATTGAGATTGCCTGTATTACAGGATTCATGGCTATGTTTGTAGGGGAAACAGTCCAAATGAGCTGAACAGGCACAAAAGCCCCTTTGTACAGTCTAATGATTTCTGCTCCAAAATGTACAAGACCTGTAAAAGTCACTTTGAGCTAGCCAGGATCTTTATTCTCAGAAATTATTCCATCTCTGATTCAATCAACAAAATATCTCAAAAAACAACCACCTTATGGTACTCTGTTCTCAAAATACTTTACACTGAATTAAACTAACCCTGATCCTTGGGTACAATGTCTTTTCAATAAGATCCCAAACTGTATTTCACACTGAAAGCTCCAAATCAAATCTAAAACCACTTGGAAACTGTTCAGACTGTTACTCTGCCTTTCAGGTACTCCTTTATTTCCAAGTATAAGGGGGACATGAAACAGAAAGGGGAACTTGCAGACCAATAGCCAAGTACAACGGGAAAAAAAACCCTCTGAACGATGTTTCTTTTGCTAGCTTCAGGAAACTCTTTTGGCAGATGCACGTTTATTAAATGTTGACAAACTTTTCAAACATTGTGCAGGCACATTTTTTAAAAACACGCATTTCCTTCCACCATTTGCTCACTTAGTTAAGTACAATTTCTTGCCAAGTAAATAATAAATATAAATCAACATTTCATATTTATTGCTGAATGTAATGTATAGATATTGCCTGAAGCACAAGCAAGTTAATAAACTCAGAGCTTGGGAAAAGTGAAGTTACTGAATGCACCAACTTGCACTGAGCACAGCGTCTCTGGTATAAAATCAAGAGAACATCTCAACCCTACTGGATGTAACAGTCCAAATTTTGATATGCACGTTCACATAATTTATAAAGAGCTGTCCAAGCTACACTTTAAGCTTCATCACATTGCAGGAATCAGTAATGGAAGTCATTTCCTTCCATCTATTGTATCGTTCTGATCTGTAGCAACTAAAGGCTGTTACTGTCCACATGCCATTCAGTGACATGGGACAGGGCTGTTCAACTGCATGGGACTGCCAGGCTCCCACCCAGTTGCTATTGTGGAGGCAGCGGCTGGGGTTGCTGGGGCCAGAGAGCGGCCCAGGGAGAGAAAACGGCCCAGCACAGAGAGAGGCCCAGGGAGCTTGCCACCCATGTACCAGCACCAACTGGAGGGCACAATCCTCATGTGGCAACGGGAGTGTGAAAGGGGAGAATTGCCCATGTGGTTTGGGCAGTGGGGGGTTCATATGGCAGCAGTGGGGGAGACAGTGCTGGTGCCATGCAGTGATGGCAGCAGGTGGACAGAGAGGAACAAGGGGGTTCCCACTACTTGAATGGTAGCAATGGCAGAAGCTGGGGGGACTCACATAACTGGCAGTGGGGCTTATACATATGGCTGCCAACCTAACAAAATGGGGTTTTTGTTGTTGTTTTTTTTAATTGATAATCTACGAACTTTTTACTGACAACCAACCCTTTTTAACTGACGTATCTTTTACATAATGTAAATGCAACCCTTCTGCTATGCCCTGGATTGTGATAACAAGGGCCGGATTCAAATTTAGGGGTTGAACACCAACTTTCTAAATCTGGCTTAAGCTTCCCGGAAACCTAGGAAAACAAATTTTAGCATGAACAGACTTCCCCGCTCACAAACAACATTCAGCTAAAACAGGGTTTATTACAGGGAAAAAGAAAACAAAGACATGACTTCAGAGAACACCTAACCATTAAACATTAAATGAAACCCAAACCATTAATAGTCTCAGTTTTACTTGACTGCATCAGTGGTTTTAGTGTGCTGCCCCTACCACGAGGGTCATTAACCTGCATACCCTGATGCACTTGATTGCCCTCCACATCATGCTGCCCCCTCCCAATGAACCCCCAACTGTACCCTGGTTAGACCCACTCCTCCTGTCCCAGTACAGATGCCCACCTGCCACCTCTCCCTGCACAACAACTCTGATGTGACTGCACTACTCCCCTTTCTGTCCAGCCCAGCGCTTCACACTGGGCTGCTTGGCTTGGCCTACTTTTGAAGCAAACAGTCATTACAGGCAGGCAATGGGACACAGCAGCAGCACATGGCAAGGAGAAGAGGTGGGAAAGAGACTAGAGACTACCATGGGCCACAAAGCCCTAACTAAGAGCTCCCTTCTGGGCATCAAGCTGTACTCTTGCTCAGACGCAAAGTGGTGCTGCTTTTCTCTGTCTGTCCAACACTTACATCCAGGCTCATTCCGATGACAGATCCTCAATCAAGCTCATGATTTCTTAGCTTTTTATAAACAGCTCAAAATTTTTTGTGGACTTTATGGACGAGAATTTTTAGCCCCAATCCTCCCCCTCCATTTTGGTTTTTTGTTTTTTTTTCTTCTTTTGACTGTTTGTAATTTTACAGACAGTTAACAATCCTGCTTGTGCACCAAAGGGGCTGTACACTGTGGGGAACCTGTATGGGTCCACTGCGTACAGCCCACATGGTATGTGGCCCAGGGCCCATGACCTGTGCAATGTGGGGCCCCTGGCTGGACATCCTTGACATGTGAAGAAGGCTAACGGCATCCTGGGCTGCACTGGTAGAAGTGCTGCCAGCAGATCGAGGGAACTGATTATTCGCCTTCGTTCAGCACTGGTGAGGCCACTCCTGGAGTCCTGTGTTCAGTTTTGGGCCCTCTACTACAGAAAGGATGTTGACAAATTGGAGAGAGTCCAGCAGACGGCAACAAAATGGTTATGGGCTGGGGGACATGACTTGTGAGAAGAGACTGAGGGATCTGGGCTTATTTAGTTTGGAGAAGAGACTGAGGGGGATTTAATAGCAGTCTTCAACTCTCTGCAAGGGGGCTGCAAAGAAGATGGACCTGGACTGTTCTCAGTGGAGGCAGATGACAGAACAAGGAGCAATGGGCTCAAGTTGCAGCAAGGGAAGTTTAGGTGAAATAGTAGGAAGAACTCTCTCACTAGGAGGGTAGTAAAGCACTGAAACAGGTTACCCAGAAGTGGTGGAAGCTCCATCCTTGGAAGTTTTTAAGATCTGGCTAAACAAATGGCATGATCTAGTTGGGGCTGGTTCTGCTTTGAGCAGGGGGTTGGACTAAATGGGACCTCCTGAGGTCCTTTTGAACCCTCGTTTTCTATGATTCTGTGGATTACAAAGAAAGCAGTCTTCCCTTAATGTCACTGCAGGCATGTGGGTGGGTGGGTCACGAGAAAGGGGCTTGAGAAAAAACTGTAGTACTGCTATCTGTAGTACTTGAAAGTCATGGAGGCTGTTAATCCAATCCATAGTTTTACATATACATCTTATAACAGATGCCACAAGGGATGTTAATTACTTTTTAAAGATTCAATTTTGCATTCAAACAGACTTGTGCAGAATGCACATTCAGCCCCAGAGGTTTGTTACACAAGTCCTCTCCTCTTTCTCCTTCTCTTTAAGCTTTAAGTCATAGAAGACAACAGATTACAGAACTGCAGTAAGTTCATACAAATCCATAAGTAACTTGCTAGCATTCAATAAAATTGACACTGCAAATAAACAGCAAAGAGATTTTTATTTTATGTCCATACAAGAGACTAACATAGCAATTCAGTTGTGGCT